CTCTCTCTCTCTCTCTCTCTCTTGCGTGCTCTCTCTCTCTCTCTCTCTCTCTCTCTCTCTCTCTCTCTCTCTCTCTCTCTCTCTCTCTCTCTCTCTCTCTCTCTCTCTCTCTCGCCTCCAGACTTTCAGCGAGTCCGGACGAGAGCAACACCGGCTGGAAGTTTTATTTCAAGCTTTACTGCTTCCTGGACACGGAGAATGTTCCCAAAGACAGCGTGGAGTTCGCCTTCATGTTTGAACAGGTAAGCAACAAAACAAAAACCTGTTGCTATTGTTCGGAGCCATCAGACTGAAGTTTGATATCTAATCCGTAGCCAGTAGGAATACCTTTTGAACAATGAACACTTTAAACCCCAAAAGTGGCTGTTCAGCAGGAGTATGAAATTATTTTGGACAGAAGTGTTGAGTATTTAAAAAATATATACATTTTGATCTGATATATTTAATTTTTTTTTTTCTTTGGTTTTAGTGAAGCAACTTGTTTTTAATAGAAACATGGATGCAGTTCTTTTTAAGCATTTTAGCTTATTTTGATAAACTGAAAATAGGAGTTTTGCTTTTGAACATTGCTCAAAGAAAGGCGTTGAAACGTGTAAAAATAAGTATTGATATTATTACTAAACGTAGGTATAGTACTGCAGCCAGTATTTCTCTTGTGATTAGAAAAAGTAATCCCTCCCTAACATACCTGAGAGGTTTATCTGCTGCACCGTAGATTCAGGACTCACTGTGACCAAAGGGGGGAAGAATGATAATAATAATATTTTATTTAGTATAGCACCTTTCACAGAAATAGAGCTCACAAAGTGCTTCACAAGAGAGATCAAAAGTTAAAATGAAGACCACAGAAACATGAATAAAATAACAACATGAGGCAGAAATGAAGGTTAACACAAAAACAAAATAAAACACAGAGCACGTAGAGTCCCGAAAAGGAACAAACATAAGAACAGAACTGTTAGAAAAATCTCCCTGGTCACCGGCTTGAGCTTCAAACTCAGGATCCATGTATTTATGATCCTCTCAAGAATGGAAGTAGTCAAAACAAAACATTCTGACTTTTTCTCAAAATCATGACTTTTTCTAAAAATCATGACTTTCTAATTATTTTTTTAAACTTTTTCTCAAAATTCTTACTTTTTCTCAAATTTCTCAAAAAAGTTCGGACTTTTTCTCAAAATCCTGAATTTTTCTCAAAATCTCAAAATTCTTACTTTTTCGCAAAATTCTTACTTTTTCTCTGAAGCTCAAATTCAGGAATTTTAGATTTAATCTCAGAATCCTCTCCAGAATGGAAGTAGTCATCACATACAGAGCATCAACTAGTTCCTGAACAGTGTCATGCTGATATCCAAGAGAGGGAGTTCCACAGTCACAAGATGGAGGAATAGAAAGCAGTATTCAATGTTTAGCTCAGATTAGCTAAGGCCCGCGTAAGCAATAAACATGACAGTCATATGCCTATCTCCCTAGTGGCTGTGTCATCATGTTTAATCGTTGGAACATAGCTATCATATGTTCAACACAGTGTCTCATGAGCTTCTTCTATGTAATCATACATCCGGTTACACAGCTACAGTTGGGCCTTTGTTATCATGTATACTCTGATATTGAAAGAGTACATTCAGTATTTTCCCAACACATAAATGAGAGTGGTTTTATTTAATGTATCGCAGTTTCAAAATGTTTTTACTTGACAGTTGTTCTGAAATCTCCATCTCACATTTCCTTGTCTCCAGGCTCATGAGGCTGTGATCCGGGGTCGGTATCCGGGTCCCGAGGAGACCCTTCAGTTCCTGGCGGCCCTCAGGCTTCAGTACCTCCAGGGGGATCACAACCCCCAGGTCAAAATCCCCGAAATGTCCCTGGTGTTCCCCATGTCTCGGTTGCGGGCCCGTGTGCAAAACTCGGCCAAAACCTTCGCTCCGAGCTCCGTCAGCAGCAGCGGCGGCGGCGGCGGCTCTTTATCCGAACGCTCGGGAACGTCGGAGAAGAAACGCTCGAGCTTCCTGGAGGGAACGCTGAGGAGGAGCTTCCGGAGCGGATCGCTGAGTCGGCAGAAGCTGGAGGAGGAGAACAGCCTGGAGGCGTGGATGAGGGAGGAGGCGGCGGCCGTGAAGACCTGCGTGATAGACAAGTGGAGGAAGCTGCAGGGCATGAACCAGGAACAGGCCATGGTCAAGTACATGGCGGTGGCCAAGGAGTGGCAGGGATATGGATCCACGCTGTTCAACGTGGAGGTGAGTCTACCAGCGTTTAGTTTTGGATCCCTTGTTGAAATATAGTTCTTAGTGTAATATTAATGTTTAATATTTGTAGTGTCGTGACGGGTCGTTCCCCTCAGAGCTGTTTTATTCCTACGGTTCAAGTAAAGCAACTTTTTTTTAATATTGATATATTTGATATTGTTACTAAAGTAAGGTATAGCACTGCAGCCAGTATTTCTCTCAGTTTTTAACACATAAGGTTCTAGTAAAGCTACTTTATTTTATAGAAACATGGATGCATTTTACCTTATATTTTGTTTAACATAAAATAGGAGTTTTACTACTGAACGTTGCTCAAAGAAATGCGTTGAAAAGTGTCAAAAAGTATTGATATTGTTAGATTCAAATACCGCTTCCCATAATCCAGAATACAAAAACAGATATATATATAAAAATATGTATGCAAATATGTATATACTTATATATATACACAATCAACAGACACATTTATACATATGCACACACTAAGACCTAAATTAGTGTTTCTCAAACTTTTTCATACCAAGGACCACTTAACCAATAAAAAAACACTCGCGGACCACCTCACTCCACAAATATCCAAAAACATATCGTTTTTTACAAATCGCCTGAAAATGGTACAAACAAGTGGCCACATGTGTGATGAAGGTGTTTATCTGGGCTATATCATGCAATTGAAAGTGAAACTTAAGCTCGCTCCATTGCGGAGATATTCCCGCGAGAGTGCGGAAAACTTAAATAAATTTATTTCAAATGTCAAATTTTACCAATATACTCACGGGCCACTAGGGGGCACTCACGGACCACCAGTGGGGCGCTCATGGACCACCAGTGGGGCGCTCATGGACCACCAGTGGTCCGGGGACCACACTTTGAGAAGCACTGCTCTACTGTGACATTATTCCATACTCTAATGTTAAAGAATCTCTTCATTTTTCTCATACTGCCTGTGATGCAGCACCTCTTTTCGCCCTCTGTCTGAAACCAGAGCTCAGTCTGCTCTGATTGG